GAGCGATGCGGGTGAGAATGGGGGAACGGAAGGGCAAAAGTGCAATGTTCTGTTTTAGATGCATCTGAGACAAGTCTTCTTTCCCTGCAGGGGGCTGTGATTGCCTGCAGATCTCCGCTCTGTTCTTCTTGATCCTAAGGAAATGGGCAACACCTAAAAAATTCACCCAAAACCATTTTTTTGGACCGAGGACGGGCAGTTTGTGGACAGAGAAGCATTTCTGCTCATTTTGGTGCAAGGTATGTGCAAGCAGCCCCAACTGTCGCATTCGCAACAACACTTTATTCCATTTTCTTGCATGTTTTCTTACCAGATGATTTTCACATATTTTGTGTGATCTTCCACACACACAAAATGCCCACTTCTGGGATTGTACGGAATCTAGTGGAAGTTAGACGCTCGTTTGAATTTGTTTCAAAGAAAGCAACCTGTTCTCAGCTCTGTTAAGCACGGAAAATAAGAGCCGCAAAATTATGCTAGTCGCAACATACAGTTCCCTCCCACCATTTCATTGGTGCATCATGGCAGAACAGAAGCGCACATGCGCCACTAAGGTTCTAGCATTGGATACTCACACCCAATTAAAAATAGTTATTATTATAAGTATTATATTAATTAGTAATTATACAGTAATCATTCATAAAAACAATGGTAAGTATTCAAATACTACTATTAGTCACTACAGCTAATGTAGAGATTCTTAGCATACAGTTTTAAACATGTAATTTTAGTATGTACTAATTCTTTTTAAAATTACTGGTTTGATTCTTTATATTAGCCTTCATTATGAACCTTGTTTTTCCGCGTTGCTTTTACTTGGTATTTTTAAATGACACTTTAGATTGTCTTTTGTAGCCGCTTAGAGGTATTTCGTTTGAGGAAGCCAACTAAAGCAACTTTTACTAGAACTCAGGAATTTGGGGAGATCTGGCCTCTCGCAACCCCATAACAAATACTTGAAAGGGAGATTTAAATAAACACATTACTGAAATAAAATAAGTCCAGTCTGACTCATGCTGAACCAAGGTCTTAGGCAGCCCCTGGAAATAAAGCCCACTTTCCTCAGTAGGACATCCCCACACCCCAAAGTAGAAAAAGGGAGGCATGGGGGCCTCGGGAATCGTAAGAAAAGAAGAGTGCTGCAGATGCTTTCATAGAGTGAATGAGGCCCTTGGCCCAGACACCCAGATTCTTTTCTCAAAATCAAAGCCAAACTTGGTGCCTCCGGGTAAACCAATTCTGGGTATACGGTGAAATAGTAGATATTCAGCTTCCTCTGCCTTTCCTCCTTTTTCATTTTCCTGCAGGTGCTCGGTGTGTCCAGGGGAGCAAAATGGCAAAGATTGAAGCTCTTCATCTTTTCACGCCAGCCTGCTGAGAGCATTCAGGTTCCAGCTGCCAAAAAGGAGTGAGAAATCCATAACAAGCCTATAATAGGCTGACGGTCCGTCCCTCCGCCCCTACAAACTCTGCGCCTGTTCCCCGCTGCAGCCACATAAACAATTAGGGGGCTGATCAAACTACTGCAATCTCCCCTCCTTTAATCATTTTCCCGCCATCCTCCACAATTCTTTCTTGGCTTGACAGTTGAAAATTCCTCACAATCTGTGATCACTGTGATGCCGCTGCTGCTCTAAGTGAGTGCTGGGTGGGCCGCTCCCCTTCCTGCCAACACTCCATCCGGCCTAGGGGCGGAGCCTGCAACTCACCCGCCACCAGCTTAAGAGGCCCAGGGAGGCTTCCGGGACCACTGCTGCTGCTCTAGTGAGTGCGGGTGGGCCGCTCCCTTTCCTGCCAACACTCCACCCCTAGGGGCGGAGCCTGCACTCACCGCCACACGCTTAGAGGCCTCAGGAGGCCCTTCCGGGACACTGCTGCTGCCTAGTGAGTGCTGGGTAAAGACCGCTCCCTTTCCCTGCCAACTCCCCGGCCTAAGGGGCGGAGCCCTGCACTCACACGCCAACACGCTTTCAAGAGGCCTCAGGGAGGCCTTCCGGGCACACCTGCTGCTGCTCTAGTGAGTGCTGGCGTAGACCGCTCCCTTTCCCTGCCAACTCCACCGGCTAGGGGCGGAGCCTGCACTCACCGCCAACAGCTTAAGAGGCCTCAGGGAGGCTTCCCGGACAACTGCTGCTGCTCTAGATGAGTGCTGGGTAGACGCCTCCCTTTCCCTGCCAAACTCATCGCGCCCTAAGGGGCGGAGCCTGCACTCACCGCCACAGCCTTAAGAGGCCTCAGGGAGGCTTCCGGGACACCTGCTGCTGCCTCTAGTGAGTGCTGGTGGGCCGCTCCCTTTCCCTGCCAACTCCAATCCGGCCTAGGGGGCGGAGCCTGCACTCACCACTACATTAAGAGGCCTGAGCGCTCCCTGCAGCAAGTGACAAATGGTTTTAAATGTTTTAAGTGCTTTTAATTTGCCTGCACCTTAAATGGTGGTGGTTGTTTTATAATTTTTCAATAAAATATTTTATAATTTTTTAATTTTATTTCTGCTTGGGGTCTGGATAAGTATTTAAGTCAGGGTGGGGAGTAGTTTAAATTTTAGCACTATTGTTTCTTGCTGTGCTTCCTATTTTATTATTCTGTTAAGTATTATTACGTTTGTATTTGCTTTTTAAAGGGGAAGGGTCAGGGCTGCCCGGGAGTAGGCCTCAGCCAACGAATGGCTGGGCGCTTCCACGGGGGGAATGTATTGGGACACCCGATCTCAGTGATCCACCGGCAGGAGGAGGAGTTTAGCTAAGACCAGACATGTCATTAAACCGAGGAGGCAGGGTTAGTTGTTGTTTGAGGACATCCCTGCCTCCCAGGTCCCGTCCTGACTGGAAAAGGATACTGGAAATCAGCAAGGGAAACCCACATGAACCTGAAAGTGTTGCTGTGCAATGCCAGGTCATGAATGAATAAAACCACTGCCATCCACAACCTGATTGTGGATGGAGGATTTGACCCTGGCATGTGTGACAGAGCCTGGTTGGATAAGCAGATGGGCCTGTCCTGCCGCTGTTTGCCCACCAGGTTCTCTACGCACAGCAACCCAGGTCAATGTCGGGGGGAGGGGGGTTGCAGTGATTTTTAGGAAGCCCATAGTCCTGCAGCAGGCACTTCTTAGACCCGGCCAATATGCCACTATCGCCCAGCTCTCAAATCTACCAATTCTTAGGCAAGGTGATTGAGCGGGCTGGTTGCTGAAACAACTCCAAGCACGCCTGGAGGATGCCGCCATATTGATCCCTTCCCAATTGGGATACAGGCCTCACAATGGGACCTGAAACTGCCTGGTCGCGCTGGTTGATGAATCTCCGGCGGCCTAGGGACAAAGGTGAAAGCATGTTTCCTAGTTGTGCTGGATCTCTCAGTGGCCTTTGACACCATCGACCATACAACACCTTCTGGACCGTCTAGAGGGGCTGGGAGCTGGGGGCAACGCAGGCTAAGACCCTATCTGCCCGCGGACTGTCTCACCAGAGTGTGCATGCGCTAGTTATCTCCACTTGGACTACTGCAAACGCGCTCTAAGCGTGGGCTACCTTTGAAGTGACCGAAACTGCAATTAATCCGGAATGTGACAGCTAGACTGGTGGACCGGGAGTGGCCCGCCGGGACCACATAGCACCAGTTCTGAGAGATCCGCATTGGCTCCCAGTACATTTCTGAGCACAATTCAAAGTGTTGGTGCTGACTTTAAATCCCTAAACAGCCTCGGTCCTGTATACCTGAAGGAGCGTCTCCACCCTTCGTTCAGCCTGGACACTGAGATCCAGCCGCCGGCTAGGTTGTTTTTTGTTGTTGTTTATTCATTTTTCTTTTTTATCTACATACACCTCAAATTCTTAACATTTACAATATATTCCTCCCTCCCTCCCCTCCAAGGTTTCCCCCAACTTCCGCTTCTGGTTTGTTTCTTTCACCCATTTTGATATCTCTTAACAGAAAAGTTATAACATAACTTCAAGCCTAAAGACATAAAAATAACAGTAATACACCATCATCTTTCACTATTTTTCAAACATTTTCTAATGCTAATAATGTGAATGTTTATTTGAATCCTGCCATCAAGTCTATTGACCTTTTTTGTTTCTGCAAATATAATATGAGTGGTTCCCAATCTTTTTCAAAGTCTTTTTCTCTTAGTCTATCTGTCATTTTTGCCAGTTCTGCATAGTTCATCAACTTCTCTTGCCATTGTTCTTTTAAGTTGGGTATTTTCCAGTCTTCCAATTTTGTGCAATCAACATTCTTGCTGCTGTAGTGGCACACATAATAAAAGTCCTCATTTTCTTTGGTATGTCTTGACCTAAAACACCTAACAAAAAGGGCTTCTTTTTTTTGTTTTTTTAAAAAAAAAGTTATTTTTCAACATTTTCTTCAATTCATTATATATCATTTCCCAGTAGGATTGCAAAAAGGTAAAATGCTACTAAAGCCATCTAGGTTGCTGGCAATTGCTCTCTCCCCATGGGAGGGAGTGCCATAGCTTACCTATGTGCAGAGACTGGAAGGCCACCTGCCAATGCAATGATCTCGTTGAGATTCCTGCATTGCAGGGGGTTGGACTAGATTCTTCAACAATAAGAATGGGGTTTTCCTTCCAGACTGTCATTGTTGTTTTTTTGGATGGGATTCAATTGCATACAAGCAAATTTAGGGTACACGATTATAGAGGATTGTTGGAGGTTTTCGAACAATGATCTACTCCCCCCCCTAAGATACGGAAAGTGACAGGGAATTGCATTTGGAAGTGCGGGGTAACAATTGCTTCAATGCAACAGCATCTAACCTCCTCACAAACAAATCAGGATGAATGCTCAAGGAGCAGGTCATCTGGAAACACCCTCACATTAGGGTCTAGTATCAAGAAGAGAAATAGCATGGTGTTCCGATAGTGGCAGGAATCAGATTACTCAGGTGGTAATTCCTCTACTCATCCTTGGTCTTCCTTGTGGCAGTCACTGTTTGACCTCTGCTCACTAGACAGCTGAAACTTCCTCAGTTTCCTGATGGAGGTAAGTCTTTAGTTGATTAACTGTATGCACTTATGTTGATTAATCAATAAAATTTACGTACGTAAATGCAAAAAACAATAGTTTTGAAGCAAAAAGTATACTTTTCTGATTTAGCACATCTGTGTCACAGCAGGCATAATCTCAGGAAAGGCACCCCCTCATTTAAAGAGGCACTTCGCTGCCTGCAATTTTTATTAATACTTGCATATTATATGGAAGGCCCATTTTCCAGGGCTTATACTGGTGTAAGATCCACTGGTCTTAGTTTAGCCGACTGGGGCCTGTGAGTGAACTGAATCTAACCTCCGCTATTGCTTACAACAGAACAAGGATGACCCCTACTCTACCTACAATGAGGACAACCTGGCTCAGTGTATTTTTGACCTCTTTATTGCTGGAACAGAGACAACTGCTACCACTCTGCAATGGGCGCTGCTCCTCATGGTGACACATCCAGATATTCAAGGTGAGAGGGAACTGTGCAATGGCAGCAAGAGGCCATTTTGACCTCTTGATCCTGGACCTGAATTCCTTTCAGATTGGCCCCCATCCAGCCCATTACTACTTCCGGGCAAACACCTTCAAGCCTCTCTTGATTCAGATGGAATGGAGATACAGAGCTGTGTGTCACCAGCATACTGACAGCACCATGCTCCAGATCTGTGGAAGATCCCGGTAGATCTTGCTGCAAGAGGCTACCCTTCTGAAAATCATTATTTAGGTTTTCCACCCCAGCAGGTCTAGGTGGAATACTTTCCTGTGGAACAAATACCCCTTAATGATTGCTCAACTTGTTTATTTTGAGATGCTTCATCCGAAACAAAACTTAATTCTCCACCATTTTCCTCAGAGAAAGTCTACCAGGAGATGGAAGATGTTTTTGGTTCATCTCACTCAATCCGCTATCAAGATCGGAAGAAGCTGCCCTACACCAATGCTGTGATTCACGAGATCCAGCGTTCAAGATATATCTTTTTAATTGGGCTTCCAAGGCAAAGCATGAAGGACGTGAACTTGCACGGTTTTCACATTCCAAAGGTACAGACGATTGTAACAGTTGCATTTCTATAGCCCAGGGGGAAGGCAGATTCCCTTGCAGTGCAAATTCTGTAGAAAGTAACTGCAGCTCCTTCCATTTCCAAAAAAGAGAGGGCAGTTCATGCAGGGACATCTTGTGCTGTGTCCTCCAGATGTGGTGGACCACAACTCACATTATCTGTGACCCCCATCATTGATCTATGTTGGCAGGGGCTGTTGGGAGTTGTAATCTGCAGCAGGAGCGGTTGGTGAGGAGAGGTGCAGCTGCACACCTTGCCTCCCAGCAGCAGAGTTGCTCCTGCTTCCTGGGAGGAAGAGGGATGAGATGACAGGGAGATAGCATCTGTGCAGGCACACTGGTGGGAGTGCCCCAGAAATGCACAGGATCGCTTCTGCGGAGCTTCTTCACAATTTGCATCCTTCCATCAGCACTCAAGACTTTTAAATTCATGAAATGCAAATCTGAAAATTCATCATTTACAGTGGTGCCTCGCAAGACGAAAAGAATCCGTTCCGCAATTCTTTTCTTCTAGTAGTTTTTTCGTCTTGCGAAGCAACCCCATTGGCGGCTAAGCGGATTAGCGCTATTAGCGATTTAGCGCTATTAGCGGCTTAGCGGGCTTAGCGGCTAAGCTGTTAAAAGGCTATTAACAGCTTAGCCGCTTTGAAAAGGGGGGGGGGGGAGCGAAAAAAAATGGCGAGACTCGCAAGACGTTTTCGTCTTGCGAAGCAAGCCCATAGGGAACTTCGTCTTGCGAAGCGCCTCCGCGACGGAAAGCCCTTTCGTCTAGCGGGTTTTCCGTCTTGCGAGGCATTCGTCTTGCGGGGCACCACTGTATTAAAGAAAGAAAATGCAATTCTTCAGTTCCAGGAGAATGAAGCTTGTATGTAAAGATTAGTGGAAATAATAATAATAATAATAATAATAATAATAATAATAATAATAATGATGATGTTTATACCTCACCCATCTAGATGGGTTTCCCCTGCCACTCTGGGTGGCTCCCAACAGATTAAAAACAGAATAAAACATCTAAATAATATAATAATAATAATAATAATAATAATAATAATAATAATAATTTATTATTTATACCCCGCCCATCTGGCTGGGCTTCCCCAGCCACTCTGGGCGGTTTCCAAAAGAATATTAAAATACTATAAACTTCCCTAAACAGGGTTGCCTTCAGATGTCTTCTAAAAGTCAGATAGTTGTTTATTTGCTTGACATCTGGTGGGAGGGCATGCCACAGGGTGGGTGCCACCACCAAGAATGCCCTCTGCCTGGTTCCCTGTAACCTCACTTCTTGCAGTGAGGGAACTGCTAGAAGGTCCTCGGAGGTGGACCTCACTGAGCGATGCGGGTGGAGAATGGGGGAACGGAAGGGCAAAAGTGCAATGTTCTGTTTAGATGCATCTTGAGACAAGTCTTCTTTCCCTGCAGGGGGCTGTGATTGCTGCAGATCTCCGCTCTGTTCTTCTTGATCCTAAGGAATGGGCAACACCTAAAAAATTCAACCCAAACCATTTTTTGGACGAGGACGGGCAGTTTGTGGACAGAGAAGCATTTCTGCCATTTGGTGCAGGTATGTGCAAGCAGCCCCAACTGTCGCATTCAGACAACACTTTATTCCATTTTCTTGATGTTTTCTTACCAGATGATTTTCACATTTTGTGTGATCTTCCACACAACACAAATGCCACTTCTGGAGATGTAGCGGAATCTAGTGGAAGTTTAGCGCTCGTTTGAATTTGTTTCCAGAAAGCAACCTGTTCTCAGCTCTGTTAGCACGGAAAATAGAGCCGCAAAATTATGCTAGTCCAACATACAGTTCCCTCCCACCATTTTCATTGGTGCATCATGGCAGAACAGAAGCGCACATGCGCCCTAAGGTCTAGCATTGGATACAACCCAATAAAAATAGTTATAATAAGTATTATTATTAGTAATAACTAGTATCATTCATAAAAACAATGGTAAGTATTAAATACTACTATTAGCACTACTAGCTAATGATAGAGATTTTAGCATACAGTTTTAACATGTAATTTTAGTATGTATAATTCTTTTTAAATTACTGGTTTGATTCTTTATATTGCCTTCATTATGAACCTTGTTTTCCGCGTTTGCTTTTACTGGTATTTTTAATGAACACTTTAGATTGTCTTTTGTAAGCCGCTTAGAGGTATTTCGTTTGAGGAAGCAACTAAAGCAACTTTTACTAGACTCAGGAATTTGGGGAGATCTGGCCTCTCGCAAACCCATAACAATACTTGAAAGGGAGATTTAAATAAACACATTACTGAAATAAAATAAGTAACCAGTCCTGATCTCATGCTGAACCAGGTCTTGGCAGCCCCTGGAATAAAGCCCACTTTCTCAGTGACATCCCCACACCCCAAAGTAGAAAGGGAGGCATGGGGGACTCGGGAATCGTAGAAAGAGGAGTTGCTGCAGGATGCTTTCATAGAGTGAATGAGGCCTTGGCCCAGACACCCAGATTCTTTTCTCAGAATCAAAGCAAATTGGTGCCCTGGGTAAACACTCTGGGGTATAGGTGGAATAGTAGATAATTCAGTTCCTGCTTTCCTCTTTTTTCATTTTCCTGCAGGTGCTCGGGTGTGTCCAGGGGAGCAAATGGCAAAGATTGAGCTCTTCATCTTTTTCACCAGCCTGCTGAGAGCATTCAGGTTCCAGCTGCCAAAAGGAGTGAGAGAAGTCCATAACAAGCCTATAATAGGGCTGACGGTCCGTCCTCGCCCCTACAAACTCTGCGCTGTTCCCCGCTGCAGCCACATAAACAATTAGGGGGGCTGATCAACTACTGCAATCTCCTCCTTTAATCATTTCCCGCCATCCTCACATTCTTTCTTGGCTTGATCAGTTGAGATTCTCCAATCTGTGATGCCACTGTGATGCTGCTGCTGCTCTAGTGAGTGCTGGGTGGGCCGCTCCCTTTCCTGCCAACTCCATCCGGCCTAGGGGGCGGAGCCTGCACTCACCGCCACAGCTTAAGAGGCCTCAGGGAGGCTTCCGGGACACTGCTGCTGCTCTAGTGAGTGCTGGGTGGGCCGCTCCCTTTCCTGCCAACTCCATCCGGCCTAGGGGGCGGAGCCTGCACTCACCGCCACAGCTTAAGAGGCCTCAGGGAGGCTTCCGGGACACTGCTGCTGCTCTAGTGAGTGCTGGGTAGACCGCTCCCTTTCCTGCCAACTCCATCCGGCCTAGGGGGCGGAGCCTGCACTCACCGCCACAGCTTAAGAGGCCTCAGGGAGGCTTCCGGGACACTGCTGCTGCTCTAGTGAGTGCTGGGTAGACCGCTCCCTTTCCTGCCAACTCCATCCGGCCTAGGGGGCGGAGCCTGCACTCACCGCCACAGCTTAAGAGGCCTCAGGGAGGCTTCCGGGACACTGCTGCTGCTCTAGTGAGTGCTGGGTAGACCGCTCCCTTTCCTGCCAACTCCATCCGGCCTAGGGGGCGGAGCCTGCACTCACCGCCACAGCTTAAGAGGCCTCAGGGAGGCTTCCGGGACACTGCTGCTGCTCTAGTGAGTGCTGGGTGGGCCGCTCCCTTTCCTGCCAACTCCATCCGGCCTAGGGGGCGGAGCCTGCACTCACCACTACAGTTTAGAGGCCTGAGCAGCTCCCTGCAGCAAGTGACAAAATGGTTTTAAATGTTTTAAGTGCTTTTAATTTGCTGCACCTTAAATGGTGGTGGTTGTTTTTATAATTTTTCATAATATTTTATAATTTTTTAATTTTATTTCTGCTTGGGGTTGGATAAGTATTTAGTCAGGGTGGGGAGTAGTTTAATTTTAGCACTATTGTTTCTTGCTGTGCTTCTATTTTTATTATTCTGTTAAGTTATTATATAGTTTGTATTTTGCTTTTTAAGGGGAAGGGTCAGGGCTGCCTGGGAGTAGGCCTCAGCCAACAGAATGGCTGGGGCAGCTTCCACGGGGGGAATGTATTGGGACACCCGATCTCAGTGATCACGGGCAGGAGGAGGAGTTATGCTAAGACCAGACCATGTCATTACCGAGGAGGCAGGGTTAGTTGTTGTTTGAGGACCATCCCTGCCTCCAGGTCCGGTCCTGACTGGAAGGATACTGGAATCAGCAAGGGAAACCCACATGACCTGAAAGTGTTGCTGTGCAATGCCAGGTCAATGATGAATAAAACCACTGCCATCCACAACCTGATTGTGGATGGAGGATTTGACCTGGCATGTGTGACAGAGCCCTGGTTGGATGAAGCAGATGGGCCTGTCCTTGCCGCTGTTTGCCCACCAGGTTTCTCTTACGCACAGCAACCCAGGTCATGTCGGTGGGGAGGGGGGGTTGCAGTGATTTTTAGGAAGTCATTAGTCTGCAGCAGGCACTTCTTAGACCCGGCCAATATGGCCAACTATCGCCCAGTCTCAAATCTACCATTCTTAGGCAAGGTGATTGAGCGGGTGGTTGCTGAACAACTCCAAGCACGCCTGGAGGATGCGGACCATTTGGATCCCTTCCAATTGGGATACAGGCCTCACAATGGGACTGAAACTGCCTTGGTCGCGCTGGTTGATGATCTCCGGCGGGCTAGGGACAAAGGTGAAAGATGTTTCCTAGTTGTGCTGGATCTCTCAGTGGCCTTTGACACCATCGACCATAACACCCTTCTGGACCGTCTAGAGGGGCTGGGAGCTGGGGGCACGCAGGCTAAGACCCTATCTGCCCGCGGACTGTCTCACCAGAGTGGTGCATGCGCTAGTTATCTCCCACTTGGACTACTGCAACGCGCTCTACGTGGGGCTACCTTTGAAGGTGACCCGGAAACTGCAATTAATCCGGAATGTGACAGCTAGACTGGTGACCGGGAGTGGCCGCCGGGACCACATAGCACCAGTTCTGAGAGATCCGCATTGGCTCCCAGTACATTTCTGAGCACAATTCAAAGTGTTGGTGCTGACCTTTAAATCCCTAAACAGCCTCGGTCCTGTATACCTGAAGGAGCGTCTCCACCCCCTTCGTTCAGCCTGGACACTGAGATCCAGCGCCGCGGACCTTCTGGCGGTTCCCTCATTGCGAGAAGTAAGGTTACAGGGAACCAGACAGAGGGCCTTCTCGGTAGTGGCGCCCACCCTGTGGAACACCCTCCCTTCAGATGTGAAGGAAATAAGTAGCTATCCTATCTTTAAAAGACATCTGAAGGCAGCCCTGTTCAGGGAAGTTTTTAATATTTAATGCTGTATTGTTTTTAATATTTGATTGGGCCCAGAGTGGTTGGGGAAACTCAGCCAGATGGGTGGGGTATTAATAATAAATTATTATTATTATTATTATTATTATTATTATTATTATTATTGAGTTACCACCAGCCTAGCAAATATTCATTGTTCCTCGTTCATTGCTTGTGCACGAGTATCCGGGACCGATTTCTTGCAGTTCTCCTGTGTGTTTCAGAGACGGCAAGGTGTTAGCTGAATAAACTATTTGGTCAGATCTATGTTCTGAGCTGTGAGTGTATTATTTGATAAAGGATGAGCTGTTATATGCCACCCCAGTCTCTGTGAGCGCTACAAGATTCTAAGGATTGCAGGCACACTATAAACAGGAAATGAACGCATAGCCACTGTGGTTTTAAACTCGTTCATTTCCTGTTGATGGAAAAGCTGTTGATGTTACGCATGACCTGACCTGCTCCTATGGATCAGATAAGAAACTAAAAAACTGATCAAGCTGGCCGTAATGAGGTCACCACAGGTGTCCTGTACTAGCCCACACATGAAATCTTCTTCACAATTTTCTATTTCCTTCTGGAAATAGTCCTTTTGAAAATAGCAGGAGTAGCAAGAAGGAGCAAATAATTTACTCGATGAATATTGAAGAAGGCAAGCTGCCACCTGGTGTATACAAAGTACAAAAGTGGGTTTACTAACCACAAAAATGGGTTGTTCCACTGCCATCAGAAGCTTGGGGTGGTGGCAGCCCAGGAAAGGCATTATTTGTAGCGGCTCCTAAGTTGTAGAACTCCCTCCCACCTCTTTACCCTGGTTTTTGACACGTGAGATGCGTATATTTTTAGAACCCACCTTATTTTTATAATGTAAAGTTGTTTTTCTGGGGAAACCCAGCCAGATGGGTGGGGTATAAATCATCATCATCATCATCATCATCATTATCATCATTGTGTAATATTGCATTTTAACCTTAATATTGAGTTTTAATTGTTGTAACCCAACTTTGGAACTCAGGGTGAAGGGCAGGTAAAAGATTGTAATAAATAACAGTGACAACTTGAATGCTGCAATTCAGAACTTTCCTCAGCACAGAACTCTTATCTAGTTGTATGCTATAGCACTTGGACTTACATGCATCAACCTCTGCTGTCCCCCCCCCCATTTACTGAAGAACTTAATTACAGTGGTACCTTGGTTCTTGAACTTAATCTGTTCCGGTAGTCCATTCGATTCCCGAAACCAAGGCGTGGCTTCCGATTGGCTGCAGGAGATTCCTGCAGTCAAGCGGAAGCCACATCGGACGTTCGGCTTCTGAAAAACGTTTGCGAACCAGAACATTTACTTCCAGGTTTGCGGCGTTCAGGAGTTGAAATATATGAGTACCAAGGCGTTCGAGAACCAAGGTACGACTGTACAATTGTCTCACAGGGGATTTGTTCAGGTGGAATAAATTATCTCCAGTTTAATTGCTGGATCTATGAGAGAATGGGTTGCTATCAACTTCTGCCTGCTGACAAGTTTGAACAGAGTGTGTGTCTCCTTTTGTTTCTTCAGGGTGAAACATTACATTGCATTTTGTTTTTCAATCACATAATGACAAGTATGATGGAGGGCTGTCAGTGATTGCTTACTACCCACATGGATGGAAGCTGGGCTTCTGCCTCAGTGGAGTCGACGTCAAGGCCAGCAAAGAGGGGGAGTGCTGCATCTTACACACACACACACACACACACACACAGAGAGAGAGAGAGAGAGAGAGAGAGAGAGAGAGAGAGACCATGCCCCAACTTGTCAAAAATGTATAAAATGTTGTTGGAATGGCAAACGATGGATGAGGAGGTAAAGTTGGTTATGATACATTGGGTCAGAGACTTTGGTTATAATATACAATTGGCTGACTGGGAAAAAGTATGGAACGAAAATATGAAATTTACCGCATGCACGGCGTTAAAGGAAAATATTATGAAAATGGTATATAGATGGTATATAACACCGGTTAAGTTAGCAAAAATGTTCAAAACATGTAATAAGTTTTGGAAATGTAAAGAAAAAGAAGGATCTTTTTTCCATATGTGGTGGGAATGTAAGAAGGTAAAGGGTTTCTGGGAATGATATACAATGAGTTGAAGAAGATGTTTAAATATACATTTGTAAAGAAACCAGAAGCCTTTTTGTTAGGAATAACAGGAAGAGAGATAAATAGAAGGGATTACAAACTTTTTCAATACGCAGTAACAGCGGCAAGAATATTAATGGCCCAAAAATGGAAACAAGAGGAGTTACCGACCCTTGAAGAGTGGAGAATGAAACTTATGGACTATGCAGAACTGGACAAATTGACTGGGAAGATTAGATATCAACGGGATCACAAGTTCATCGAGGACTGGGGAAAGTTTACAGATTATCTGAAAAGCATATGTGATGAACAGACAACGCTAGTGGGATTTAAAGAGGCTTTGTGAAAGTTAAAGATGTATTGTAAAAAAGAAATAGAACTGAAAGGATAACATTAAATGGCAATATTAAATTTAGAGAATGCACAAAAATAGAAAATATGGATGATTGGTGGAGAAGCTGGTGGAAGTCCAAAAAGCTGAAATTTGTGAATATTGTTTGAGATGGCGAATTTGTAAAAGGAAAAATTTAATAAAAATTATTATTAAAAAAATGCAAAAAAAGGTCCAGCTCCAAGGGCCTTCTGGTGGTTCCCTCACTGTTGGAAGTGAAGCTACAGGGAACCAGGCAGAGGGTCTTCT